CATTTTTAGACATAAGTTGTAACAGCCGCTGTTTTCTTCGTGAGTATTTATTACACAGCGTTCTGCAGGGAAAAGCCTGTTCTAATGTTTGAGTCTAAGGTTTATCTTTTAGCACCTGGCGGCCCTTTTTTGCTACTAAATACTCTGCATACTCTTTCACATGATTCAGTTTATTTTGCAACAGGATCTTGAGCTTTATTGTGAAAGGTTTATGTGGAAAATAAACAAGCGGACAGATTAAGACAGAATCTGTGTCAGAAGCGTAGATGTTCCTGCTGACTAATTTCCTTGGCACCTAAGTGGGACAAAAAAAATACAACACTCTTCACATAACCAAGAAAACACTGTGTGCTCAATTGTCACTGTTTATATACTGTTATTTTAACCTCATCATAACAGATGAGGTTAAAATGATCTTTGCAGTGAGCCATTTGAAACTGGAAACCTTAATGGACAACAGCCCTGTGGTAAAGTGCAAACTGCATCCAGGACAGAAATAACATCATTATGCTGCTAACACAACTTTGGTTCTTGACCCCGTACCAGCTGATCTCCCACAGACAGTGATGAGCAGTCAGGCTTATATCATTGTAGCCTCCACTTCTACACGTATGTCTTTGTACAGTGGCGATCACAGTGAAGCTTCTCAGGTGGTTCTAGTCCCAATGCATTGGAGGTCATGTTTCAGAGTATCATGAAAGTAATGTAACGAGTAGTGTAATAAATTGTTTTCTTTAGTGAGTAATTAATAAGTAATGTACTGCATTACTTTTCAGAAAAGTAACTTTTTTTTGCAGTACTTTTTTTTTTTTCTATGTTTGTCTTGTGTTGCTGTTGTCTCACTGTTGGTAAATTATTTTACTTGCTATTAATTTGTGAAGCACTTTGATTGACATTGTTGTTTTTAAATGTGCTATATAAATACATTTTGATTTGATTTGATTTGAACTCTGCTGGGGCTCCAAGAGATCCAAAAATGTCAACTTACTGTATACCACAGATTGGCTAGTCAGTGGCATCACTCGAGTCATGAGAGTGTCTCCCTCACAAAAATCAAAACCGCCCTTTTTGAAACCCGGCCACAAGGGAATTGGCTGCACAAAAAACAACACCATTGTCCCAAAATCTGACAAAAACTCATACACGACATAATGGGATATTCGGCCGTGTTGCTATAACGACCCTGCGCACATTAGGTGGTACTCTAGTGAAATGGAAAACAAGTTCAGCCAATCTGAGTAAGTACTAATGGAAAGGGGCTATGAGAGAAGCCAGAGCCAGGGATGATGGTTGTGCTAGACTGATGTTTTTGTATGACTAAGAGGCTCCATTTGAAAATGTAAGACTTGAAGGTGTTTGCAGCACCTGAAAGGTTGTAGCGTTGCAAAAAATCAATTGACTTCATTTCTGCTATCTGGATGATAAGGTCTGGCTGGCCTTTAGTTTCTGACAGACAGAAGGAAATTGACACACAATGGCATGACCTCAGTACCTAGCTAGGATTAACATTATCAGAAGATTATGATTTCTTAGCAGCTGTGCGGTGGTGTTGAAGCCAGGACTGGAGCCTCAAATTGTTATTTAAATTAGACTTCAAGCCACTGATCAGGCATGATCTTTTCCTGTCAGACTCTAAGGAATGATTAACATGCTATTCACACACCTTCATATGTCCAAATCAGAGATGAAACATCTAATTAATCAGCTGACTGACAGGAAGTGAATTGGCACCTAATTTGAAGTCAGATTTTTTTCAGAAACTACCACAGCTATTTCGTTCAGCCTCCCATAAGAGAATGTTTTTCTTTTACACATTATGAACTCTTTGGGTTATTTATGATCATGATTAAACTTGCGGCATCTAAAAATAAATGACAGATTCAAAGTTGATAAATAACAGTTAGTTACAGCTCTAACCAAAATCGTATTTTGAAGGTGTAATGTAATATTTATTATCTACAGCTCTAAGTTATCTCTCAGTGAACAACCTGACCCTTAGCGCCAATATCTTGATAGTGTGGCATGAAAAGCATATATTTATATCGTTCTTTGCCACTTTAGAGATCTTCTAACTGTGAAGCTTTGAAATCTGACGTTTGTTTTAGATAACATTCTGACTAATTTAAAATTATTGTTCTAGAAATTGAATTACGCAGTCTTACACTACAGGCTACATTCACAAAGACGTTCCTACAGAACATCACACACCACCACGGATACATCGGGGCAATTTGGAGTTTAGTATCCTGTCCAAGAATGTATTGACATTCAGACTGGAATTCAAGCCGTGAATCAAACCCCTGACCTTTCGACTAGAGGATGACTCACTCTGTGCCTGGAATAACAGTTGTTTACACAGAATTAAACAGTGTCTTGAGACCTTTGTTGTGTTTCTCGGGCTATTAATGAACTTTTTAAAAATGTATGTATGCATATATGTATTTATTTATTGGTGTGTGTTTGTCATCATCTTGCTGCCGCTGAAACCAAGCAGTAACCTATGGACCTGAAAAATGAAGCCAGTACACAAGGACCAAAAAGGGCATTTTCTTCTAATGGCCACTTGAGGCTGACTCCAAAATTGAGTCGATAGCCATAGACTTCAGAGCCTGACCGATACTACACATATGTATCGATACATATGTGTAGTTATTTATTTCCTCATGTGCACTCTGCCTGACTTTGCACAGACCAGCTGGTTGTTGTGGTAGTGTTTGACAAATAACATGGTCTGCTCTGTGGTAGATGTTTGTGCTGTGGTTTTGGTCAGTGAAATTGGTGTACTAGTCTATTAGCAGCTGTACTTCTCTGTATGTTGTGTAGTTTGTGGATCCTGCACATATTCATTACCTTATTAGTCAGAATTCCACAATCTCACCCAGATATGGTCCCTTCTTGATGTATACATTATTTTCAAAATGAATATGATCCACCTTGCCTCTTCAGTAATTTTCTCCACAGGAAGGTTTTCATAAAGTCAAACTCAAGTTGCTCTCATGGATCTTTTATAGAGGAACATTTGTGCTTTAAAGACCGAGGAAGGGTACTTTTCCACAGTGACAAAGCATAGGCTCACCACTAGATGGCAATGTTTAGCCATAGGATCACAACTTCTTTTTGCCCTCATAACTTCACACCACACACAGCATTCACGAGCACATCAGGCTAATCTCTATAGTAACTGCATAGACATCAGACATTTGCAGTGAACGGGCACAATCAAAGCAGCACCTGTACAAAGACTGTGCTGCCGCCCAGGCTTCGGATAAACCAGGCTCAAATGCTCAGTTTCCCCCGTGCCTCCGTCCACCGATTATACAATACAGAGCAGGTGTTTCTTTTATTCTGTCCGCTCCTTGTAGATCACAACTGCAGGTGGTCTACACCTTTTCTTTTTAATCTTGTGGCTTGTTTCATCATTATGATTAAAATATATATCTGTTTATGTGTTTGTTTATTACCTTCTTGAGCCATATGGGGCATCCACAAATGATGAGATTGTCGTAACCAGACTCTGTGAAATGTCAGTAACTTGCTGCAACCTGAAATAAAGTGAACTGATGCCGATTTAAACTCTTTCCAACTTTGGAACCTGGCTGAGGTCCAGGTGTGTAAATGAAATACATTTTGCAACTCATCTAAATTCTTGCCATGTGTTTTACAGATACACTGGACACTACTTCATCACCACACTGCTGTATTCCTTCTTCTTGGGCTGTTTCGGGGTTGATCGTTTCTGCCTGGGCCACACAGGGACTGCGGTTGGGAAGCTGCTCACACTGGGAGGCCTGGGAATCTGGTGGTTTGTGGACCTAATTCTGCTTATCACCGGTGGACTGATGCCCAGCGATTACAGTAACTGGTGCACATACTACTGAGAGCGACAGCAAACTGCAACTAAGGACTCCGGCCACTTTGCTGTCTGATATTTATCAGCCTAATAAGGAGGACTCCCAGGACGTGGCCTCTGCCTGAGTTGGCTTACTAGACGTGGAATTGGGGACCTCCTGAGGGCTCCTATGGGGTTCCCAGGAGCTCCAGTGAAAAAGGAGGAATAATTTGCTATCATTAAAATAAATTAAGTTCTTGGAGAATGCATAAAACTCAAGGCTTTTACCACAGCTACAGTGATGGTGGTTTTTCCAGTTTCCTGATTTCTCAAAAAAGGTCACTTTCATGCTTGTAGTTCAGTTCATTTTGTCCGATATGAGTGGAACAATATGATTCATTGTTGCCGTTTAGTTCTGGTCTGCTGGAATGGGCTTCTGTTTTTTTATTTTATTTTGTTGAATGTCATCCTGCATCCTGAATGTCAGTACCCACAATGGAGAGAAAGATGAGTATATTTCCAGTGTAGCTGGTTTGTTACACCCACTTTCTAATCAAGCATACAGATTCACATGGATTAGGACACAAGCACAACATGTTATATCAAAGGGTTTAGACTTGCAGCTTTCTTTAGCATTGATGCTCAGTAGATAGGCTTGATAGAAATCAGTTTGCTTTCACAGCACAGGCTGCCACCAGAGTTCATTTGGAAGCAAACGGCGGCCCCGTGATCCAAAGGTTGCCTCAACACCACATCTGTCCGGGCCTGGGTAACAGTTTCTGCTGCCCGTTTGGCTCAAAAGTGTTGTTAAAGCTGGTGCAGACTGAGATTTCATGAGGAAAGGACAATTCTGGTGGAGGTGTGAAAACAAAACTACCAAATGGAGGATTTTATGGGAGTTTGTGTTTTAGGCGTGTTATACTTTCATTTAATGTACTCAAACATGCTCACAGTTTTGTGGAAATCCAGAACTTACAGCAACAGTGTGTTTGTTTTTCACGGTGCAGACAGCATGAACTCTAATTCTGAGGACAATTCAGTTCGTTTTTGATTCATGAGTATTTCTTTTTTGATGTCTTTCATTGGATGTTTGGGCCGCTTTCCTTGTTTATGCGGGCGTCTACAGTTTAAGTTTCTGGACTTGTTTATGTCATCCAGTAAAGACAATGAACCAGGCTCCTTTCTTTGTTGCTGTCAGGAGGACAAAGTAGAACTATCAGTTATGGTATTTTTGGTTCAAGCATAGCCTGTATAAAAAATTGACACAGTCAATCATGCCACCCGTTTTGAAGCTTCGAGATGAGGCTTTTTGGCCATCTTCATCTTGGTGTTTTAAAGCCGGGTGTGCGGTGTGGATCGGACAAATCACACACTTATTGGCTGCCAGCTTGTTGTTAATCAATGAGCATATCTCAGATAATCCTGCTTTCTCAAACTTAGGACTAAATATGACCCAAAATGAGTGACTGATAACATAAACTCATCAGGAAAGTGTTTGACCCTCGGCCCTCACCTAGGTATTTTTCCATACACTGTTACAGGACCAGGAGTACATATGGACCCGCAGCCTTTGCCCCCTCATGTTTGCTCATCCATCTTTTATATGGCCTACAGATATAAGCCTACATCAGTCCTTCAGCAGTGTTGGGTGTATCGTGTTGTAAAGTGCAAAGTCACATATTAGAGTTGGGTACTTTCAGCTGCCCCTTATCCATTCCCAAAGCAGTACATTTTACACCCGATTTATCCGAGCTGAGGACCAGCACTAGGAGTAGCTTGTGACCCTCTGGCTGTGTTTGTAGCTCCTCTTCCATGTAAAGTGAAGGTGTTAACCAGTACACCACAGAGCCATTAGAGAACTACTGTTCACATTTTGAAGAAGCACCTGCAATAACCCGTCACCCTGAGGGAAATGAGGTGTGTTTCTGGTTATGTGGTCGAGCACAAGCTGCCACTATCAGCTACATTCAGAGTTACAGTAGATTACACTCCTAGATGTATAACTAGTTTACCCAGACTAAATTCAAATAGAAAGGTTTATTTTTTTGAATGCAGAAATATTCTAAAGGTAATTAGTTTTCAGTTGTTAATGCTGTAATTATGCAATATAACAAGTTACTTTTAGAAGTAACATTACCCAACACTGGACCTCAGACAGAGAAAGCATAAATCGGTCTTTACAAACAAGTTAAAGCACATCAGCATCGGTGACCACGTGGTGTCGATGTGTCCTCATATCCTGGAAACCTTGTATATGCTATAAATGTCTCAGGAATAGAAAATTGAAACTTCAGTGTTGATGTATCCTAAATCTGCAAGTTCTGTGGCTCGGTTCATTTTGTTGCCTATGTGACTTACAAACTGAACAAGAATCTTCCATTCCATAAAACGCTTAGGAGGTTTCTTCTCCTGAGGGCAACATCATACACAAGTTATCACTTTTTCCCTCTGTCAAATTACTCGACAGACCAGAATTGACCCTTCACTTGCCTCTTCCACCAGAGCTGTCTGAATTCTGTATTAATATATTGCAGGTTTTTTTTTTTCTTTAATATGTTCTTTCTTTACTTGGACTGATTAACATCGGAGCTCCAAGCAAGCAGCACAGCAGGCATGGACATGCACAGCAGTCCTATTAGTCACATTTCAGATCTCGATGTAGCCGTCTTCTGAATTAACTCAAGGTTCCTTACTTTTGGAAGGGGAAAAAAAGTGCTGTGTGGAAGCATTTACCTCCAAAACCTCATCTCATCCGAATGTCTTAAACTAAAACAAATTTTGATCTCCATTGACTTTCAGGAGTGAGGCTCAGGTCTCACATTAAATATTCAAATCTTCATCTCCCACTTTGTTAAATTTCTAATCTTTACCAGGACCCAGGGTTTATGTGCTGTTCCATAGATAGAGCTCATTTCATTACCTAAGGATATGTGAAAACCCTCTTAGCGCTCATCGTAAAAAGTTGAAGAAGACACCATCGTCAATGTGACGACTCATCCAGCAGCAGGAGTGTGCTTTCAACAGGCAATATATTTTCAGCTGGCTAAACATCCTTTGTAGAGTGAAGCATTAAAACACTGCTTTACATAATTTAATTTTCCACTTAATTCATAGAGTGACGGTTTATATGCCACTTGAAAAAAGATCTGCACACAGTTTTTTTCAGGTAACAAAATCTCTCTTTTAGTGTGATGTCCTCCTTAAAGCTCTGTACACTTGCCCTACATTAATATGTTTTGAGACATATATTTTCTTGAGTTTTTCAGCTTGTACAGATATAGATATTGTATAAGATATGGATCCAACTGATGGAAGCATCACCTGAGCTGGGTGTTAATGTTATTTAACTTTGATCCACACATTGCTAATTTATGTTTCATCTGTTGATTTAAAAAAAAAAAGAAGATGAATTCATGGGAATATTATTGGTAGTGTACATTGTTGAGACCAATGTTTACTATAAGACGTATTTTTCTTTTCTGTACTCTTAAGCCTTTAAACCAGGTGTGTGCATAGGAGGTCCAATGTTCCCTTTTCTGATGGTGTTAAAAAAATCCAAACTTTCTCATGTTTTCATTGTTCACAGTCCTTATTACCCAATAAAAAGTATCTGGGACATGGTGTTCTTTACATTCATTGGAGTCTAGTTAGTGCTGGGGTAGAATATCAGTAAAAGAGTGTGTTGCCTCCTCTCAGTACTTTGCATTTTGACTGAGGTTATAGATTTGGCATGATTAAAAAAACATTTTTGATATTATCTATGGGTTCAGACAATTCAATTCAATTTTTCAATTCAATTTTATTTATATAGCGCCAAAACACAACAACAGTCGCCTCGAGGTGCTAGGTTTCAAACATTAGAAATGCGCATTAATACTATAAAATATTACACATATAACTACATAGTACTATTTTTTTCTATCAGTGGTTTAGCACAGTGTTTCAGCAAACAGACTACAGGTACCAACATTTAAATAATTTTGTATGATCTTATTTAGTCTTGTTTTACTGTATTTGACAGGTGGTCATAAAACACTTCATCAGTTTTGCTGACTTTGGTTTTATTTATTTATTTTACTTATGAAATAACCGGATAGCCATAGATTTAAAATTTTAGATAATAAAAACTCCTCTCATCTACATCAGCCAGTGATGCTTATGTATGTACAGATTTTTATATTACACATATTATTAGACATAAGTTTTTAAAAATCTCTATCCAAACATACCTGATCCATCCATCCGCTTCCACTTATTTTCAGGGTCACGAGGGGCGCTGTTCAGTTACTCTTTATATAGTTAGGTAGGAGTCAGACCATGTTTCTTTTTAGCTGAAAAGCATTACACCCAGGTAACCTGCAGTGTTGAAAACGTGTTTTCCGACAATGTTTGCTACTCTATAATCCGTCCTGCTATGTAGTAAAATCAGTGACATTTGACCGCCCTGTTGCTCCCATTGAAATGTATACAGCCTATTTAAAATCTAAAACTTTAAATTGTACGCAGCCTGCTGTTGGTTACCACTGTCCTGTTTGAAATGGATACTAAC